GCTAGGACTATGATAACGAAATATGAACTACCCATTACTGAAAACGTGAGACGTATTCGTCCTACTGTTCTGCCACAATGAGAGTGCAAATACTCAGATGGATGAAAAAGCGTTCCAATTAGTTCACCTATCCAGCCATCTTATGACACTTTTCTAAACACCAATTTAAACTATGACAGACAGTAAATTAATTAATTCATTACAATGGTCGGATTAAAGTATGTGAAACAAGTGATTATTTAGCAGTACGGAGAATTGGGGAAATGAACCAATTAGTTTTCTCCCTTTTCCTCAATGGGCATATGTCCTCCGGTATTATATGACTGAATATTGAAATTTTGGTGGAAAATATATCGTGTAGTTGCAGGATTCTTCGTCCAAGACTTGAAACTAGATGCAACCATTTGCAATAACAGTGTCAAATTTACGGACTTGTCTTCTGAATTTACAAAGTCGTGACCCATAATGGAGTCCGGCAGCTGTCTGCGATGTCTAAGCAGGCCCTCTTAGGGACAGCCCTGCATAAGACCTCGTGGAGGAAGGGACTTTGAAGTGCTAGGATCACGTCGTGTGTATGGTGATTGTGGCTCGCAGATGAGAAACTCGCGGTTGAAACATTCGAAGAAACAACAACCCCCGTCCCTACTCTCCTCTCCGTATCCCACGAGTTCCTAGAGTGAGTCCATTCACGGTAGCAACCTGGAATGTTCGTTCTCTTTTAGAAAATCCGAGAAGCAACCGACCGCAACGGAGGGCGACGTTAGTCGCTCGAGAACTGGCGCGCTATAAGGTGGTCATCGCTGCACCCAGCGAGAACCGGTTCTCCAAACAAGGCCAACTGAAGGAGGCAGGTGCAGGCTACACCTTCTTTTGGAACGGCCGCTTAAAGACAGAGCAACGCGACGCCAGCTTCGCCTTTGCCATCCAGAATGACATCGTGGGACGATTTCCCTGTCTGCCGCAGGGCAGCAAAGAACGACTGCAGATCAGCCCGGAGACCTGGGAGGTCCTCGCCAAAAACTACCGACCTGGGTAAGAGCAGTAAATACTGGCACAGAAATCTACGAAGCAAGCCAGATCGCCGCCGCCAGAGCTAAGAGAGAAGGCCACAAGTATCAGGCG